AGCACAATGATCTCCATGGTCACATCATAGGTGGCACTTCCAAACACTAAATGCAGGTCCAAGAAGGGTTGGAGGCAAAGTTCAGGGGAAGGCGCTTACAAGGTGCAAATGTGGTAGATTCTTTGCCTCCCTGGAGCGGCCCGAAATCAAAGGCCAGGCTCGCCGGAAGAGGCAGACTGGGAAACCACACAAAGACTTCTGCTGGCAGAGTAGAACCAAGGCTACAGACGAAGCATCAGAGGCATCAGAGAAGCAGCACGGCCCAGCTCCGCCCTGGCTGGTCGCTGGAGAAGCCTAGCGCCACCCTGAGCAGGTGCGGGAAGCCAGCCACAGGAACGGCAGCTGTTGTGGGTAGCTAGCAGGGCCCACCCAGACACAGGTAGTCGGGGTCAGGAGCATAAGCAGGGTCTGAAGCAGCCTGCCAAGGATTCACTTAGCGGCTTAGAAAACTTCCTCTGCCTCCTTCTGGCCCAAGTAGAACATCTGAGCCAAAGAGCAGGGGGAGCCCAGCCCACCAGCCAGGAGCTTTGTGGACAGAGCCATGGGGGGCTAGACCCTTCCCTCCCCAAGTCCTAGTGACCTGGCATGTGGCTGCTACAGTCTGAGCCCTGTCTGGGGGCCTTGGTATCAGACCTGCCAGCCCTCCCTAGGGCTCCCCTTCTGAGCAGTGTGTTCCTATCTTGCCTTGATATACTGGAGATGAGGGGGATGGAATGGGCTTTGAGGAGGACTGAGTTGTACCCTAGAGAGTGCAGCAGAGTGCTCTGCTCCCCTGGGGAAAGAGCTGGGCCATTCTCAAGGTGGGGAGAGGTAGGGATGCACCTTTACTGCAGGTGAGTGTGTCCTGGGCTCTTGGAAAGGAGCCTCTCTGGATGGGTGACTCAGATCCTGACTCTGGAAGCAGTAATGGCACAGACCTTAATGAGCAAGATCAGCACTTGATTAATTACTCTCCAAACAGGATTTCCAGTCTCTGAAGTTCATGTGATCTCCTGGGTGGAGCGAGAGGAGGAGTTGCAGGTCCCAGATCACCAGAGCTGTGAGGAAGGGGAGATCATCAGTGGCATCCACACAGGTGAGTAATCAGTTAAATTGCCTCAGAAACTAACTTATAGCAGATGTTACTTGTGTGTTTTCATGAAGTATGTCTGATTCTTTAGCCTGTCTTCAACTTGAGCCAGAGTATGCTGGATGAGGAAAGGCTGGGTTTTCTCTTCTATGGAAGAGTTGTGAAGAAGGAGGGTGAACTCAGCTCATGATAATTCAATCATTATTTGAGCGTGTGTCCCCTTTTCTATTCCTCTTTCAGAGTTTTCTTTCAGCTCATGATAGACAATAACTCCTGTCTGGATTATTTCTCTATCCCAACAGGTGATGGGATGCTGACTGAGAACCATGATCTTGTGCAGCAGGAGGGATCGGAGCAAGTGTCTCCATGTGGGATGTTACTGGGAAGACCTGAAGGGCATGTTTCCCAGATACGTGAGCAGGGAGAGACTTGCGAGAGTCAGCATAGCCCAGAAAGGCAGCATGGAAATCATCCAGGAGGGGGACAGGATAAATCCAGTCACAGGAGCCAAGGGGAGAAAAGAAACACAGAAACCATTCAACAGAAAATCCCCCATCAACAGTCACCCTGCAATTGTAGTGACTGTGAAACTCCTATTGAACATCAAAGAGCCCACACAGGAGAGAAGCCCTTC